TGAAAAATAAGTCAAAACTTTCAATTTTTACTCAATGTACATATATTGAATAAAATTATATTTCATCGTTTATTGACTTTAAATATCGTTGCTGTAATTATATTTCATCGTTTATTGACTTTAAATATCGTTGCTGTAATTATATTTCATCGTTTATATAATGTGACTGAGAGAAACAGCAGACAGTCTCAGCACTGAAGATGGCGAGATGTTAAAATTTGCACGACAGACCAAAAACAGCGACGATAAGGAGACAAAAATGATCGGGACGATCACACTACATCACTACTCTTTTTTTAATTGTTTTGTTGACAATATATTACAACTATGATCAATTGGTTTACAAGATAACATGTCAATTTAGTGGAGGTTAGTTATCACTAGAAATGAGAATCCGTGACCATCGTCTTTTTCGTCGGCAAAGAGGGTTGAGGGAATTCGTGGAAATAAAAGTTTTTTATTTGAGTATTTATGGTGGTCGGGAGTGTTTTTAATGAAATTAGCGATGGTGGTTTAAATTTTGGACAAAAGGAATATTTAGGTCTGTATGGGTAGTTTCCATGGGCACACAAAAGGGAACATTAAGTAGCGAAGGAATCTGAACCACATACTTCCAGTCCGTTAAGTCCATATCGGCTTCACAATGGTGTTATAAAGCAGCCTTTTGTTTAAGAGAGTAAGAGCGTTTAAAATGTAGTCGTGGATGCGCTCCGTAACGTTTCATAGCTTTTCACACATCAGATGTTTGTCAATTTGAAGTCCTAGATAACGCACCCTGACCGCAGTTGGGAGGGTATTTGATTGAAGTAGACATGAGGTGAATCTTCGTACGAAGATTGAAGGTTACGCGAATGGATTTTCTGGATTCAATTTGTCCTTCTTCACACCATGAATCTAGTAATGTGAACAGTTCCTGAAGGTTTCGAGTGGAAATGAATGGATCAGTTACTTGAAAGATAGCTGTACTGCCTTCAAAGTTTGGATGGTGGTTTGAGAATGGGATGGGAGGACGCTGAGTACACCTGCTGCAGTACCGGGTTCAGAATACTGCCCTGAATTAGACCAGCAAGGAGAAGGAAATACCTTCTAGTGACTTGGTAGTACCGTCTTGGGCTACGGCTACACCAAGCACGTATGCCAAACTCGATCAAAAGCATCAAAATCAAAGAGCCACATCAAGGAAGGCACCCGAACAATACTTGTCCCAACTGAAGGGAAACAGAAATAACAACCACAACGCTCTGGTACTGCTGTATTGCTGACTGACGGCTGCTAAATCCGTGGTTGCTAAATTGATGGTCGGGGATACTTTTTAAAATTAATGACCGGAAGAATTCGTTTTAAAATAAGCTGGTCTAGGACTTTTCGTAGAGTCGGATGCAGACTAATGTGTCTGTAGGAAAACTACAAACTCAATATACAGACCTGAAAAAAGTCCCAGAATACTTGCGTAATTATTGCAGAAGAAAGCTCATACTATTTTGTATGGTGGTCGTTCAGCATCAAGAAAGGGACCAACAAAATTCTTATATTGAACGGCTCATGGTCACTTACTGGGTATGTCTCCACTAGCTGGTTTTTTTGAGTTATTCAAACGTGTTTCGGCATTGCGCGATCTTCAGTGAGGAACCCATCAATAACTCTAACATTGTTATGTTCAAATCGTTTTATTAAACTGCCTACGTATATATACACACGTGATGAGCCTACCACTGCTCTCACTACCCCAGTGTATTCCTCTATAACCCTCTACAGACGTTACATACGAGTTAATTGAGGGTCGATGGGGCAATCAATATTCCGTCATAGGCCCACTCACACTACACATTCACGCTAATAAATACATTTACTTTCAACAAGCCCTAGGAGACATAAAACAATACATATAACAGTAGTATATACAATAAAGACTCAAATTCTCGTTGCCTTGCTCATTCACAATTCTCATATCAGTGGATATTCCTACACGCTCTTTATATGGAGCAAAGGAGATGCCATTGAATTAAGGGGGACACATCGAGCAACCTTTCCCTACTTTCCCTCCGTGTATCATCAGTTAAATATCTCGGAATATGGCTGGATAGAACTTTAAAGTTTTCCACCCACATAAAGCATTTATAAATAAAAGTAAAAATAATGTAAAATATATTGTTTTCACTGTTGAGCAGAGAAAAAACGCACTCTCAGCGAAAGGAACAAAATTCTTTTTTATAAAACAATGGTAGGACCATCGCTTATATATGCTTGTCTGGTTTGGTGTTTAACCAGCACTAGAAACCAAAACATTTGCACGTAGAACAAAATAAGTACTCAGCTTTTGTACGAATTCCAATAGGTACAGAAATATAGATTTCTAAAAAAAAATTATAAAAAGAACACGTACCATTTGTTTTTACCAGGCAAAAATAGTTAATTAGCTTTAGTCACAAGCGTAGGAGAGGAATTGCGATAAAAATATATGTAGCGAAATGTTGAAGTTTATTCCGGATATACGTGTTGTACCAAATTCTGTGATGTAGCATGTGTATAAAACATGTCTACGGTTATAAGTTAGTTTTCTCGCTTTTCCCTAAAAATTATGTAAATATATATAATTTATAAATTTTCTGAATTGTTTAATATGGAAGAAAAAGTATTCTGACATTAACTCTTACGTCAAAAAATAGTTATTGTTTATGATTATTACATGTATATGCATATGAAATGAACTCTACTTAAGTATGACCCGACATTTCAAATAATAAATTTAAAATAAAATAATTAAAGATCATCTATGAGATAATATGTCTGGTGATCCAGTATTGTCGTCCGTAAGTTACTTGCTGAAAGTTTTATGTTAACTACCATATCTTGAAAAAAAATTGAGTTTTTTATCCAGAGTTTAATGGTTTTCATGAGATAGTTTCTATGTTGATTAGTGTCTACTGAAGGAGTTCTAGTTTTTCATGGAAAAGGGTCATTAGTTTTTTCACTCTTCCCCTTGAAGATAATTTGTAGGTTGCTCTTTTGCGAAAGGCAATCAGGGTTTTACCGAGATAAAAGGGGGTCGGTGTAGTTTTTTTTATATTTAGCAATTTCCCGACTTTTATACATAGTGTCAGTTTAAATTGAAATAAAGGCCAATTACTCCGGCGGTCAAGTATAGGGGACAGGAAAGAACGAACCGCTATAATAAAGTCAGGTAGTGTCCCCGGTGGTAGCGGCGATTACTCGGCAGGGCTAACAGACGGCTTTCGAGCACGCGAAGACACTATGAAGATGTCAGCGGGCTGGAGACTAACAGATATTAACGCCCCTGTTAATTTCCAGGCACAAAGGCTGCGCATCCGGGCGCGGGCGTTTGTGCTACAAAGGCAAAAGGACCATCCCGACGTATAATTAAAAAAAAAAGATTTAAATTTCAACTTTTCGGCGCCAGGAGTTGGATTGACTGGTGGACCTTATTCCAGCTTAAAATCCTGCTTCTACACATTTCATTTCGTGTATATTAAAAAACAATTATGACAACAGCAACAATATACTTACACCTATTCAACAGATCATCTAAACTGATTCTAAAAATATAAGGACCATAAAAATCTCGTAGTATATAATATAACATAAACAAGAAACTTACATGGGATAAGCACACAAAAAGCTTCATTATAAAAGTTCAAAATACGAAATACTTGAGGCATGTTTTAAATTTCTTCTCAAGCATTTGTCCGAAAGGACACGAGGGTATGCTGGGAACCTTAGGATTTATCCTTTAACCTATTACCGCATCCTTACATCTTACTTATCCGATTCTCAATTGGTAACCCAAGTCCTCTGTATTTGCTATTTATTCCATCAACACTAGTGTTCCTCAAGGATCTATCCTCGCAACTCTACTCTATACTCTCTACACAGCTGCTCTCCGACCCTTCCCTTAGGTAACGTTTTTATTTGCCGATAACATTGCTTTCCTCTCTCCCAGCTCTGATCCTGCCAAAGCTTCCCGCTCTTTTCAATGTATCTCGTCAACCTGGTGCCGTGCTTGGAAAATCAAGATCAATGAAGGGGAAAAAAATTCTTCCTCTCTCAATTTCAGTTCGTACGACAAACCACGAACGTTACGATTAAATTTTTTTTAAAGCTCATTCGTAAATATGGTCAGGTTTTTTTTTCTTTTTCCTTTGGAAATATTGCCATATAATATTTATTCATTTATTTAAATTTTTTTATCCTTCTCCCGGATCTTAAAAGGAAATGTTGATTGATTTAAGAAATTTATAAATTATAATCCAAGACCTTCATGTTGTTACTTGCCAACAGCGTTTCAAGATTTATTGGGCCCATTATACTGGGTTCCCTATACAGATCATCCAATAATTGTTTCCTCTGGTTGTCGTACTCTGGGCATTCTAGTATTAGATGACTGGGATTTGATGGACTGCCGCATGTTGGACAGTTAGGGGAAGTGCTTATTCCAATTCTATGCCTATAACTCTCCCACAGGCCATGGTTAGTTTTCATTCTGAAAATAGTAGAGAAGAATTCCTTTTGCCTGCCTCCTTCCGAAAACCACGGCTTTGCTTTAAGCTTTGGGAATAAAGCTCGATCTGTCTCTCGACAGATATCTCTCGATATGTCTGGTTCGAATGAAGGGCGGCTGAATTTGAACCCGGGACCTTTGGGTTACAGTGATGTGCGGCATGCAACCGTTGCTGCCACCGACGCCCCCAACTAATGAATGTAAATTGGAATACGATGTTATCAATCATCGCAATATCACAACATAATTATTAGCCGATGACATAGCTATCCTCTCTTCCAGCAATGATCTTGTCATACCTCTCTAATATTTCGTATCTGATAATCACTTTCTCGAAGACCAAACTTGCTAAAAATGTAAAATTGATCGTATGAAAATTGTTGTCCCTCAAGAATGTATACTGGCACCACTCCCCACCTGCATTATCGATCTTCCCCTCGGCAGAAATATCATAACCTTCTTACTCGTCAAGAATCCTCTTTACGATCCTGTCGTAGCCTCGTAACCTCGGTGAAGGCTGATTGTCAAATTTCTCTCCTGCCAAGCAGTAGGGTTGTGAGGCTGGTCGTTGTAGCAGCGTTCATTAGTTCGTTTAAAAACTTGATTTACGTTGGAGATGTGAAAGTCTCTGTGAAAATGGTACCTAGCGGTCATCCCGAACTCATCGATTAATACAGATTTGATGGCCGGTGCAACCTCCAAGGTAACAAAAAAGAGGTCAACAATGTAGAGGAATTAGAGATGTGGTGCCAGGTTACACTTGAGGCACACCAGTGATTATAGCATAAATTGCAAATATAGAGGCATTTTCGCCTACATGAAAGTGACAAATACGAAAGATTTGAAACCTTCGACAGGATCATTGTTGAGAAAGAGTTACGGTATCGTCGGCATGATGACCTGAGATTTATATTTTTTCACATCCTACATTTAATTTGTAAAATTTAAATTATATTTATAAATCCCAGGCCCTGAAGATGATCTCAATAAAGATCGAAACGTTGGCACAATAAATAAAATGTTTTCCTAAAGCCCTCGTCACACCAGACCGAATCTCACGATCTTCAAATAATCAATAATTATTATATTTTTTTAAAGAAATATATGATTTTGTGATATTTTAAACATAATAAGTGTTTTTAGTAACCTCTATAGTTTACTATAGTTAATACTTTAGTTTTAGAGGTTTTAAATTAATTTAAACGACAGTTGAATTAATGATATATAAATCTAAAATAATCATCCTTTCCGTCGAACTGTCTATCCAGATGTTTTAATAAACCTGTCCTGAATAAACAAGCAATTGTGGAATCTAACTTCTGACTGAAATAAATTGAGCTTTAATTGAACGAAGAAATAAGCAACAAAGGCAATTTAATCATGACATCTACCAGCCCATTTGGAAACGTACCACTTGCCCCGACCATGCCCGAAGACATTTCATACTTCAACTGTCTTTTGATGGCATACTTTCACTTCCACAGGACCGTAAAACGACTATTCCAAGACAACGAATTCAAAGATTTTATCATAACTATCGGGTTGTCCGGAAAATAATGCAGGATTTTAAGTTTTCATTAAAAAAAATCTATATAAAATATTCTGTTTACGTTTACAGGATTACTCATTTGTATGNATGGGAAATTATTTTGATTAAAGAACATTGCTTTAAAGTAACTAGTTTCTTTTTTTTTGTTTAATACCAAAATCCTGCATTATTTTCCGGACAACCCAATAAATTCAACTATAGGATTAATATGACCATTTAAAGGGAACCTAAGGTAGATGGATATTTTACGGCAAGTACAAAGCCGGAAAACCGATTATGTTACAAGTTTATAGGATGGCTGTTAAATAACGAAGAATTCGACGTATAAGGAGAGATAAACAACTTCAATAACTAACATGACAAATGCACGGAACTGATCAAACGTTCGCTACAGAATAACTAACAAAAACTTATCAGTTTGATATTTGAAAGTCCAAAACGTTAATGTTTAAGCTTTGGTTTATCCATAAATCTACGAATGTTAATAATGAACTGCATAAGCAATGAAATTATAATATACTACTGAAAAGGAAACTAAAGTATGCTGGTAATTATATTATTATAAAGCAAGACAATTTAGATTAAAATGATGCATTTATGTAGTTGTGTTTTTGTTATTCTATGCCTAGTATTTAAGGTTTTTATGAATTTTTTTCTAAACACGAATCGTTATTATCAAAAAAGAACAAGGGGGAAAAGTTATAGAAAAATGTGTGGTATTTAGTGATCGTTAGTTAATGATTATTTGGAGATCGTGAGGTGCGGTCTACGTGCGGTGGACATAGGTTTAGAATAATCCTGAAGATGATCTCAATAAAGATCGAAACGTTGGCAAGATAAAGAAAATGTTTTTCTAAACCTACGTCACACCAAACCGCATCTCACGATCTCAAATAATCGTTATAGAAAAAGATCTCCATCAGTTTGGGATACGTTTTCTACCATTTTGGCTATTTTAATTATATAACTAAAGCTACAACGAAAATAAAAATTGAGATTTTGCCTACGCTTCCGAGTGTATGATAAAGCTGGGGGCATCATGGCAGATAGTTTCCTGACGACATAGGACCGCCTACAACTGCTTACTCTTGATGGCCCCAAACCTGCTCTCGCCCTGCAGTATGTAAGCGGTATTTTTTAAATTTTGTTTGTGTTGGAATATTTGAATTTCTATTGCTTTATCCGTTTACATAAATTATTGTAAATTTAGCTCCTGAGTTGTTAGGCTGATTATAATGAAGGGGAGTCTGACTGTCGGTAATACTCCCAAGTACCATTTAAACGCTTGTCCATTCTGTTGTTCAGATCAGTGTACAAACAGTTAAATTGCCATGATGTTCGCCGACCTTCTGAAGGAGAATGTTTGAATGGCATGTGTACCTCCGTAAGTGTCAGACATACACTAATACTGGGTTAGTAGTCTTGTACAGTAGTTTGTTTAGTAGGCTCATTCCAGCTAATATAAACAGAAGAAAACGCTCAAGTTGCAACTTTATCTTTGCCAACGATGTACATTTCTAACGTGTTCACTGAAATATCATTTGGAGTCTGTGTTATTCTTGGGTAGTTACTGTCTTAGACCAACCAAAAGAATTCCATCAGCCAATATTTTATGGTAGAGCCAGAACCTAGGTTTAGTAAAACATGCATCTTCGTATTATTTTTTAACAGCCACCTTTCCAAATGTAAATAATTTTGTGTAAAATCACTTTTTTTTAAATAGTTAAAGAAAAGAGCAATTGCTATTCGTATTTATCAGTTGTGAGCAGTTCTAAGGAAATTAGCTGAGTTCTGCTGAGCTTCTTGTGTTCGTTTAAGGATATCTAAATTCAGAGAGGAGTACGGTTAAGGTTCAACTCGCATCGTAACTTGAAAAACCAACTTAACCCAATGGATGAAGAAAGTTCATTATTGTTATGGACATTAGCGTTTAGTAAGTTTGACGAGTACTGTAAATGTATGTAAAGTACAAAACTGCCGAACCGAATACACTTTTCCCGATGACATTCGTCCATCCTCTGACGGATGAACGTTAATTGCGCACTCCACTTGCCCCGACCTTCTGAGTTGTAATCGAAATCGCACAAGTATCTCTCCGCCAAATCAATCCAGTGCTTGAATCAAAATGTTTTTTCTTTTGATAACTTCCAAAGCAATAATACGAGAAAACCGGTGAGCAGGTAAATTTATAATTCTAATGCCATATCTAACATAAGATCGACGTCTTACTAAAAAAACGCGGAAACCATTCCAACCCATACATTGGTAGTTTGACAACATTGAACACCAAATTGGTAGTCATTTGGATAGTTATTATTATATCTTAATGAGGCTTTGTTGATGAACCTTCAAAGATCAAACTACATGTTTATTACTGGCAATATTTTGTCTGGTTTTACAATTTTAAATTAATATGTTTGCACATGTTTTGTATATTTGTTCTTTATTCTTGACGTTTTTCAATTGCTCTGTGTAAAATTTGAGCGACAAGTAGGATTGTTTAAAACTTCATATATTTCTGAAGTGAAAAATGAACTATTTGACATGCCTGCAAGGACCAAACAACATGATTATTAGTGATCAATGTTTTGTCTTCATATTGGTTTTTAAAATTTAATTTAAAAGAGACGTATTTGTTTCGATATGCTTTTTCTTTATTGTTGTTATTTCCAATCACTTTTTGCAGAATATGAGCGATAATTAGGTATGTTTTAAAATAGTAAATTTTTTTGTAGGTAATGATGAAATTTTTAATATGCATGGAACGACCAAATAACATGGTTATTATATATCAATATGTTTTTGCATATTGAGCTTTTAAATTTAATTACAAATGTTCGAATATTTTTTGTATGCTTGAAGTTTCGAATTGTTTTCTGTTAACAATGAGTAACTTCTTTTTTTGACGGGCAAATAGTACTTTTTGGTGTGGACCGGAAAAGCGGTAAATTAAGAAGTCAAAAAAATATATTTTTGGCAAGAATAAATTAAATATTTATTTCGGTTGTTGGATTGTTACGTAAAAGGAGGACGATGTTGGACGAGACTGTACTTTCGTGTGGAGGGGATGCTAGCGGGAGGCTGGGCGGCCAGTCTCTCTTCAGCGTTCAGCCGGTTCCTAGTGGAAGATGGAGGAGGAGGTGCTGCAAATGTCCTTGCAAGGGGTGGTTTTCACCCTGCAGACGGCCATGATGTCATCCCTTCAACAGGCGGCCCTGCTGCCCCCCGACTCACCGGAGGCGACCGCCCTCAGCCTCCAGGCCCTGGAGTCCTACCTCACCCTCCACCGGCTGGGCCTCGCTCAGCGCAGCGGCCACGAAGAAGACGAACCAGAAGAACCGGAAGAACCGCCCCCCAACCCAGCGCCACCGAGGCTCAAATCCTCCAGGCCTAAGAAACAGTTCATCTGCAAATTCTGCAGCCGGGAATTCACAAAATCCTACAACCTGCTCATACACGAAAGGACCCACACCGATGAGCGACCCTACTCATGTGATATCTGCGGAAAGGCCTTCAGAAGGCAAGACCATCTTAGAGATCATAGGTAAATAAAATTCACTTCAATTAACTTTTTCGAAACATAAACCATAAAAAACACAACAGACTGGTTCTATAAATGAATAAAACCCATATGGTCATAATAATAATAATCTTTGAAGTGAATAAATTGACACCTGTGACATTTTGATGTCATATTTTAAAAACCATATAAACAAAGATTTTCCTCATCTACTCATTATTAATATACTCAACTTAAGATCTCACAATTAACAATAAATTTTACAAAATGTTGTAATTTTTATAAATTAACTGAAAGACAATACATTTCTTCAAACAACTCAGCTCTATTCTCGGTGTGTAAAGTCAACAGTAGCATTTGAAACCGGATTCCAAATATATTATTAATACACCTATTACCGAGAGTAATTGTACAAATATTTGGTGCATACATAATCCTCATTAAGCAGTATCCGACAACGCATATATTTCCCTTTGTCCATTCAATGATTTATCCAATTTATTATCTATCCGTTTAATTGTATGCTAGTTTTTTTATGAACTCCAATTGTTGGAAATAACCATTGTTCAAGAAAAGTAAGTCTAATTTTTGAACACACAAGGGCAAAATAATAATATTTAGCCGGCATAAATTACAGCGGGGTTACTATTATTATTATTATTTTTTTTTTAAAATCCACATATACTAGTGATACATTAGAACTATGAAATAAGATCATATTTTGGTTGAAACACAGTTATAATAATTTTTTGCTGAGGGTTTTTTTATATTTGCTATTTGAATCAATTTCCAATTATCCTTCCTGGCCGAGAAATAAATTAACATAATCACGCTGTGAATCATTAACCAATGACAAACAAAATACTGATTTAATTATTACTTATAGTTTAATGGGAAAACTAATGCGCCATGATCGATTTGATAATCATGTTTGTAACCTTCGACGAGGTTTTCTCCATGGCAATTAATAAAAATCAAAATATTTGTAGCAGTTATTATTGTTAGTAATTAAACAGCCTAATAATAAACATCCGAACAAATTATATTAACACAAAAATATTTATTAATCTATTTTATCTTAATATCTTATGTTATTTTGTATCGTTATAGCAAGTTTGACATTAGATAAATTTAAAACAGTTTATTTTTTAAGGAAATTTCTTCTAATAAATTACTTGAGATTTCCAGATTTTAACTCTTCTAACTTCGTTATTTATATTGTTTATTATTGGCTTGGTGACGAATTAAAACAAAAAATGTAATATATTAAATTTATTAAAGGATCTATCGAGTACTAGTGACTGGCCTGATGTACCCCTACTATCATGACTAATGAACATTGGAACGTATCATTTCTAATAGTTTTCCGGTCCGTAGTACACTCAAAGTTCTATTTTCGCATCTAACTGGGAATTCATTTTTATCCTAACGTGTCATTATGGTGAATTTAAAAAAAAAGTAATAACCATGTCCTGGTAGTTTTCATCCGAATGAGTGGGTTGATGATTTCCTTTCTGAAAATCAAATCCAAATAAGTTAGTTATTGATATTTGCCATTATGAACGATTTATTTATTAATTGATCTTGTTCGTTGAAGTATTTTTAATTTATCTCTTTAGTTTAGTTTCAATGTGTACGTGTGTTTTCTTTTGTGTGTGTGTGTGTGTGTGTGTGTGTGTGTGTGTGTGTGTGTGTGAGAGAGAGAGAGAGAGAGAGAGAGAGAGAGAGAGAGAGAGAGAGAAAGAGAGAAAGCAAACATGAGAGAAATAGAGATAGAGATACATAGATAGTTAGACAGATAGATAGATAGAAAGATAAAGACAGAGAGATAGAGAAAAAGAAAGAAAACAGTAAGCGAGAAAGGGGGAAAAAGAGAGAGAAAGAATGACATTTTTCGATGAATAGTAAGATAGATAGATAAAGATTGAAAAAGATATAACAATAGACAGATAAACAGATAGAGAATGAGTGAGAGAGAGAACAAATGAATCATTTTAGAGGATAGTTAGAAATACAATTGGGTAAGATTCAGATAAAAGTAAATATAGATGGATATAAAGATTGATAGATAAATACATTCACAGAATGAATCATTTTAGATGGGCAAATAGATAGATAGTTGGATAAAGATTGAGATAAATATAAAGGTAGTTGTATAAAGAGTGAGAGTGAAAGAGATAGAAAGAGGAGAATGATTAGTTAAAGCAGATTAAATTCAACTAATGGCATATATATATTCATCATTCATAGTACAAACAAATAGTTATAATGTGTAGAAGGAAAATAAATGTCAACATGTGATGCGTCGTTTCTGTAGTGATGGTCATGAACCTCTTATTTTCTCTACATATTTGTGGCTATTTATTATTCAAATAAATAGGCTTTTAACTGTTTAAAAAAATAGAATTATGAGTTCGGATGTTTCGGAATTTGCAGTCGCTCAGTTTTATCTCCCCTACCAACTTCAGGTGTAAAGTTGTAAATCGAATTAAACTCCAGAAATAAGAATAATCCAAAAGTTAATCTTGATATTAACACAGTCTGCCTGAACCGAGGAAACAACTTGCGAAAGCCCCGAAACCGGTTCGTTTTAGCATAGCTGGCTCTTCTTTAACTCAAATGATAAGTGCGAATCGGCATAAATAAAGTCCCTACAAGAAACAGTTAAAAATTTCGATAAAATAAAATTTATTATTTTTTTCCAATTCTCAGCTATGTTCCTTTTCGAAATTTTCTGTCGGGACTATAATTTTTGTTTAAATGGACACATCTTTGTTCATATTGTTTAGTCTGTTCGTTAAAAAGATAAAAAAGATTTTAAACTTATGATAATATTCCGCTGTAATAATTTTATTAAGAAACTGTCTTTTTCAGATAAAGTACCGAAATGTTATTAAACCGGTCGTGAATTCTATTTGCATAAATTTGAATAAGGCTTGTATTATGATGGGTGTGAAGTTTAAGACAGGGACAATTTTTTGACTTTTTTCTCCTTCCCTCCAAACCGTTTTGGCCGCCCGCCCGTCCCATCGGTTTTCATCCAGGCTTCTAATTGATTTATGCCATGGACGCAATAGCGACATCCAGGTATTTTTTTTTCACTGGGGAACGAACGGTAATGCACGGGCAACTTTCCACCCCGGTCGTTATTTCACTTTGTCACGGTAGGTTTCTATAAAAATGGACGGTTATTATAGATTTTTTGCCAACCTTGAATTGTCCCCCCTCAAACTTGACCTGGACTGGAATATGTCGTTAATGAGTTGCAATCATGGACTACAATAGGTAGGGTCGTTATCGAAATTATGATATTTTCATGACCAACTTTTATGTTCATTCTACTTTTTATAATAGTCCACTTACAAAAAAAATGAATTTTTTCATGTCGACCAACTTAAAAAGTGATTAGTATATAAACTGCTCAAAAATGAATAGAGGTATTTGTAATTTATTCTTATTCTATTAATTTTAATTAAATTAACCGATATATTCCTGTTAGTTTGATGAAACAAAATTGAAAATAAAAACCAAAAACAAACAAATTTCATTTTTAACAACGGATTTACTTAAGAATAGTAAACATGAAGATTACTCATTTTGTCAACGAACACCTTTTCTCATTTTTTCTCCATTTTAATCCACTTGTATTCTCTTTAACCATGAAAAGACATAATCTTGAACTAGTATGGTATGGTATGGTATAAGGATACTGGAAGCGGGGTTTGTACTCCCCAAGCACTGCAGCCTTCTGGCTTATTGTACCTTCCTAGTTCCTTAGTTCAGGGCGATAGACTCTATCCTTCTCCTTAGAAAAAGCAGGTCATTTACTGTCGCTGCTACAATTTCATTCCCTCAGTTTTTTCGTATGTTAGGTTGAATCTCCATTGAGCTGTTGCTTCGCATTCGAAGATGATATGGGAGGCTGTTTCCTCCTCCTCATTACATAATCTGCAAATGGGATCATCGTTGTATATACCCATGTTGTGTAGATGTTTTCTCAGATGCCATTGACCGGTTAGTAGTCATATCACTCCTCTGAGTTTAGCCTTTTCAAGTTGTAGCAGTGATTTTGCCATTCTTGGTGAGGGTTGTTTCGTCATAAGTTTACTATTTATCGCACCGCTAGAGTTTATCCACTTCTCCTTTTGTTTTGTTAGGATCCATTCTCGACGGAGGATTCTATATTTGTTTATGTTATCCCAAGTTTAGGTTCGGGGCAACTGTATGGTCTTGCGGATTCTCCTCTGGCCAGTCTCTCTGCTTTCTCGTAAACCAAAATTCCTCTGTGCCTGGCAATATATCATCAGGTTGTTGTGTTTCCCCAGGTTTTGGACATTTTGGATGCATTCACTGACTAATTTTGATGTAATCCTTTTACATGCTAGTGCTTTAAGGAATTTGGGCGTTTTCCAGAGAGTGGTTTCCCGGGCTTTATCCCGATTTCTAGATAATGGAAGTGCCAATAGGATACCCGGTAGTAAATCTCAGCGCATTACGAACCTAAAGGAACAGATTAATTGTCTTTGCTGCAAGACGGAACCTTTTTCGCTAGATCCTAAATTAGGTGCAAGATGTTTTGACAAGGCCTTTATCAACACAAAAGATTCGAATCGTATGCCTCTTTGATAAGAGCTGCAACAACCCAGGTGAATATGGTGTAGCGAGCGCCTAGAAGAGAAAACCAATTGGAATGCGGTTATGTTCACTGATCAGTCGTGTTTCTGTCAGTACAGTGAGAGCAAGTGCCAAAGAATCTACCGAGAACAGGGGATGCGTACAAATGCCCCAGTTCATGCTCCCTTCAGTGCAGTTTGGAGGGAACGGTGTAATGGTCTGGGCTGGGACTAACCGGTTTCCATATTTTTGAAGACAACCTCACCGCAGTCCGTCATGACCAAGAAATTATCCAGGAGTACATTCCTCAAACCAGGGATCTCGTGGCCAGAGATTTTGGATTTCTGGATGTCAGACCTCATAGAGGCAGAGTTGTTCATCATTATTTAGAAAACCTGGGAATATCTCAT